CCCCCAGCATTCCATCAGCACTCACTCAGGCATGCACTGAGAGCCGCCCAGATTGTAGTGGCTAGAGACACACTTGAAGAGTAATTTGGACTTTCTGAAGCTGGTGCTCAGTAGTCAACATGGGCTGGACTCCTCTGGGATGCCAGCATCCTAGCAGGCCTTAGAAGTCTGAACACAGCCTCTACGAAAAGGAGCTTTGAGGTTATGGTCTTTCCAAGGCTCACAAAACCCCCACTACACTAAGCTGCACAAAAGGGGCAACAATGAGCTTTTCTGCTAACACTTGTGTCCTGGATTTGTTCCTTATAAGCTGTGCAATCTCAGTTCCCGTCCATGTTAAGTGGGAATGATTAATACCTACTGCCAAAGTAGATAGGAGAATAAGTTAATGTGTGTAAAATAGCTAGCATTTCCCGGGTGCTCAATAAATGTGAGTTATTATTAGCCACCATCCATCTATCAATTCGTAATACTGGGGTGGCTGTATGTTTCTATGACGCTGGAAAACAACGCCACTGGTCCTTCAGGTGCTAGCACGGTCACATAGCAGGCAGGTTTCAGTGGTGTTTTCAAACTAGGGAAAAACGGCCTAGTCATCTACTTCCCAAATTGGCCAATGAAAACTCTATGGATCACAAACCACCAGCCCCTCTGTGGAACAAAGGCGAGGCTTTAGACTTGCATAAGGAGTTACAGTCTTGGAAACCCAGGGGAGCAGTTCTGCCCTGTCTGATGAGTCAGAGTGAACGTGATAGCAGTGAGTTCTCTCTCCATTGAGTCTGACAGAAGGCTTGGAGGTGAGCCCCCAGGCGAGAAGACACTCAGCTGCACATGGGCTGCAACAATGGACTCCAACAGACCAGCACTCAAGGAGATGGCTCGTGAGCAGACACATTGTGAAGTACTGTCCACAACACTGCCAAGAGTAGGAGGCAACTAAATAGCAGTGAACAACATCTCTAACCTTGGCGTGTAAAGGCGGGAATGCTCCTACGTCACATCTGAGCTGGGGTTCCCATGGAGATGCCTAGACCCAGCGTGGAGCGAGGTCCTTGTCATGAAGTGGCCAAATCTCTCTACTGACACAGGCCTCACAGGCAAGCACACATCTGAGCTGCAGCACCTCAGTCAGAGTAACTGGTAGGAACACACGGTGCCCTAGTACTGGGCAGTCTTCCACACCAACTCAACACTTTGCCTTTTTCTACCCTGCAGGCAAGGTAAGGGTGAGCTCTGCTATGACGGTGTAGCTAAAGGTGTGCATACTAACTCTTAACCCTGAGCTCCATGTTTGCACCCACAGAGAGCTCTGCTAACTTCCTGTGGACAAGTGTTCAGGCAAATCTCTGAGAAATGACAAAGCGGCTTTTAAGAAGAGGTCACTACTAACCTGGAGGGTTACCTGAGTGGTACAAGTGCTGCCAGCTGCTTGTTAACTAGAGGTTGCTAACTGCTTGCTAAGAGACTAGAGGTTCAAGTTTATCTAGAAGTATCAAGTTTATCTAGGGAGAAAGGCCTGGCTGTCTACTTCTGAAAACCCAACCATTGAAAATCCTATGGAACACAGTTCTCACATAGGACACTGGGTTGTCTTGGCTTCGAATTGTCTTAATGGAATCTAGTGTGTGTGCCTGTGTGCGTGCACGCGCATACTAACCTTGATGCCGTCCCAGGCCTGATCAGAGAGGAACTCCACAGGACTCGTGACCCCTGTTTGTGCTGGGGATCGAAGCAGAAAATCCAACTCTGCGGCACTGATCTCTTGATTCATTAGGAGGACCTGCGATACGGAAGGACACCGTGTTTCTTTAGCTTGTGACAGTCCTGGAGATAGAGGTTGTCACTCACTGTAATTATGGCTGCTTCGCCCAACCATTTGGATTATTAAAAGCGGATCATATAAAAGAGAGTGTACACACATGCCAATCATTTCTGTGCGTCTGTTCTCACCCTAATCACCAGGTGACAGCCAGCCACACAGTGAATAACCACAAATCTTGTTTAGCAAGGATTTACTCTATCTATCTATCTATCTATCTATCTATCTATCTATCTATCTATCTATCTATCTATCTATCATAACTGCCCTGGAGAATAAAC